GTGAGGTTGGGGCTATTTATATTCTCATTTTTTAGAAGAGGAGATGGAGGATAGATAAAGAAACTCTCCCAAAGTTACCAAGTCAGTAAATGGAGGAGCCAGGATTCCAACTCTGCCAGTCTGGCTTCAAAGCTGCCTTCTTCTGTATATGTATGTATCTTACATTGATTTGGCTGGATTTAAATTAGGCAATGACTTACCAGTATCTCAGGAAAGTAGCTTGGACATCCATGATGGCTTTCAGAGAAGCTCAGAGGGCTTAGAAAGACAGTAGCTTTCTTTAAAAGGGAACAAAGCCTTCCCTCCCCCAAGTGGTCCTTTTATGCAGGGACTTTCTCCACGACTGTAATAAGCTTTTACAGGGAAAAGACCATATCTATTCATCTTTTAATACTGTGTCTAGCTGAGTATCGAAATCGCAGTTATGCCAGTTACCAATTTGTTGGCTGTGCTCCAAATCCACTCTTGTTTGCCTCGTTTTGGGATGCAGGAGCTGGCCCCTGTAAACAGCTCTCCTTGGCCAACTGATGCAACTTACAGCTTGTCAGTAGAGGGCACTGGAGGGACACAGTGAGCGGAAGGGGCTTTTCTGTGGAGTTCCTGTACTTCTCTTCTTGCTCCTACGGCCCAGTGGCCAGTGGGCACTTCCGGCAGGAGACCTAGTGGTCCATGACCCCAGTGAGTTGCTTCCAGAGACTTTCGCTGGCCCTGCAGTGGGACCCTCCCGAAGCACCGCAGTGAGATTGCCCGCTGTCCTGTGGGGGGCCATCGCCATCCCTTCTCCAAGGAGGTCTGCATCTCGTCCTTGAGAGGAGACCCGCTCTCTGGTTTGTTCCTCCCGTGAGTGATTTCCTCAGCCTTGGAGACAGCACCTGCTCCCTACATCTGTAGTTCCTATTCCTTAGAGCTCTCTTGACCCCTCTTAGGAGCTAATCCCCTTTCACTAGTTAATAATTTTTTCCATGAAAATTCCCCCGTTCAAATTATTAGTGTGGCTTCTAGCTCCTGATTGGATCCTGACTGACACAATGGTAGACAATCAATGATTAATGAATGGATGAGTTAGTGAGGGAATTGAGGAGAGAGGCTTCATTTTTAACTTATTGCTGTTGTTTGTTCTTGAGGACTTGATTGTGCAGGATAGCCCTCAGCCCTATCATACTCTTCTCAGGTATTCAGCTTGCTTGGGAGTTACACATTTTCAAGCAATCTATAAAATGTTCTCTCTTCTTTCCTTCAATTAATTATTATATTACAGAGTCCAGTCGCACTAAGAATATAGAAACAAGTTTTTCTCTCGTTTGTACAGCCGCCCTAGGTTTGTAATTTTGTCCTGTGTTATCAGAAATAACCTGGCCAGTCCTAGAACTTGTACCATTTCCCACGTCAGAATCAAGGTTTTAAATGCAGGTGTTCCGTTTTGAGAAAGTAAGATTTTACTATTCACTTCTACAGGAAATGACTGAACTCTTAGCCGAGTTGATATTCCCAGGCTATGAGTAATCCTGTTTTTACAATCCACACAAAACAAATTAGTATATCACAACATTCCTATAGCTTACTTTGGAGAAAAAGTTTTGGGCGTAGGTATATCAGTAAAATCATCTAAAATCTTGCTTTTATGTTTCTCTGGGTCAGACTAAAAACTTTTTTGTCTAAGGCAGGAAAACATGAACTATGAAAATCACAATGAAGTGTGTTTCTGTGGTGATTTGCACAAATTGTCTGCCTCCATTTACGTCCCCAAACACAGCAGCCAAGTGAATCAATTTTGAAATTGAACACAGCTCCACACAGGGACTGTCCAACCCCACATTAAGGCTGATAGAAAAGCACATCAAGAACATGGTGAGGTTTTGCTTGTTTATGTAATAAAACGGACACCGATATTTGGCTGCCGAATGTGTAAATTTAACCTGTGTGATGGTGGGAAGCTAAGAGAGAAGGAAGCAATTTGGGAAGTACCTCCTCCCTGTACCACAAACATTCTCAGCGCCATCCGAAGACCCCAAAACTAGGTCCTACAATATATGCATTTTATAAAGCAAACCCACCCTCTAGCTTCAGGCTGTGTGTGACCAGGCTTCTCTTTTGAATTTTATAACTAGGGTGGAAAGCTAACAGTGTAGTGTGTCACGGTCAATATGTCAACCACAAAGTGGCTGCAGTGTTACAGAAAGATCCCAATAGTCATTTAGTAAATTTCCCTTGTAATTTGAGAGAATGTTAGATGAATCACAGAGTGCCCGATGTCAGATCCCCAGGTCCCAGACTCTGAGTTCTCTGGATTTTAGAGTAAATTTTTTTTTGTACCATGGCAAAGGGAGTTTCTTTCTGGCGGAGGGGAGGGCAGGTTTAGGGAGTGGATGGAGTAGGAAGGAGGGAGTGTGCCACTTTTTATGAGCCATCATTGCAATTTTAATGGTTGTCAAGTCCCTAGTAATTTTGAAATGAGAGCATACAAATCTCACTCCTGGGCTGGCTTGAAGTCTTCTTACATTGCACCACTGCTCCTGAAAATAATTTTTGTTAATTGGTGAAAGTGCATTGGAGGACATGTCTTCGACATATCATGATTTCCATACTCCTTAATGTAACAATCCCAAAGTGCTAAGGGTTTAGGATCTCCCTCCCCTGCCCGCCCCTGGCAGATAGGGCATCACTCAAATAAATACGAAAAGTGATGACTTCATTTGTATTGAACTCTTTGTGGTCCAGTTCACCCACAAAATTCTCAGCCACCCTAATCCCCTCAAACATTTAAGATATAGAGCTAACTTTTTTAAGTTGATGCAGAAAAGATGAGGACTTTTAAGTCCTTGTATAATATGCATCCCAGTAGCAATGACATTTATCTTATGATTGAGTCATGGATGGTAAACTCTTTTTTTAGGTAGATAAGCAGGGAGATAAGAGGGTAAATTCCAGAAAGTGATGGGGGATGGGTTTCTAGCCTTTTCCTGGCTCAGTTTACTTTTCATGTCTTGTGTAGAAATGGTTATAAAGTAGGAATTTGGGGGGCAAGAGAGAGGAATGGACACTGTGGGCATTAGGGAGGAAATGACCCAAAGTGATGAGAATTTCAAAGGAGGGTAGGGGGTCAAAGTCCCCAGGGCTCTGAGAGCAGAAATCCACTAAGACTGGCATTGGAGGCAGCAGTGGTGCCTGTGGGATATGCATGATTGCATTTATTCTGCATAATTAGTAGAAAACCAGCTATAAGAATTCATCAAGTCCTCAGAACAGATGGCTTCTGGGTAACAGGATGTCCCCTTGTCTTGTTTCTTAAAGAAACAAACCATGTCTTTGAAAACATTAATGTCATAATACAGGATTCTGACTAAGCCTTGTCTTTGGGAAGGAGGCTCAAAGGCAAAACTTTGGTTGCCTTAAGCCAGTGTTTTCAAACTTTGGTTGTAACCCATTAATGTTGTGACCAATTTAATTGATTTTGATCAGCATTTTTTAGTGCAATGTAATAAAAAAATCTGAAAATCTGAGTGTATCTCGTATATATAGTTTTGTGGTATTTTTTTTTTAGTTGAGCCATCCTGCCACCTGTTGGCAGCTCAGCGGAAGCTCAGCTTGGGCCAGGACTCGAACCGCTGTTGCTCAGAGCTCAAACTGTTTTTTTTTTTTTAGATTTTTATTGGGGTATTGGGGGGAAGGGAACAGTGCTGGGGAATTGGGGGAAGGGGAACAGACAAGTTGCTGTCATTTTGTTCTTCAGTCTAGTTGTGGAGGACGTTGCTTCACTGGCCCAAGTTGGCACCATCATTGCGCTCTTCCCGGGCGAGGCAGATCAGTCACTGGCTTCTAGACGGCCGCTCACGCTGGCTGCTGGCTACACACGGTAGCCCATGGCAACCCACTGCCACAGGGAGTGCAGCCTACGCCGTCGCTGGCGACCCATGGCAACCCAGCTCCAGGTTGAGCTGTTGTTCAGCATCTTAGCTGTAGAGGGCAGTGTCACTGGCCCTCATATGTGGGATCCGAACCGGGGCCCTCTGGCGTCGCAAGCCAGTTCTTAACCATCGCACCACTTGGCCGGCCCTCAAACTCTTGAGGGAGCTCTTAACCACCTGAGCCACTTGGCCAGCCCTGGTTTTGTGATATTTTTTGTTTCAGTTGTATATGTGTACAAGAGTGTGCACGTGCCGGGTTGTGATGGAAAATGTCATGCCTAGTGTGGATCAAGCTCCAAAAAGTAGAAAAATACTGCTGTATGCAACTTTAAAAGGAAACGGAGGGATTGATTAAGAATTTGGTGGAGAGAGCAAACACTGCCCAACTGTTTTTTATTGGTGCACATGCACGTGTGAGTATGGGGGTGTGTGCACATGTAAATGCATGTGGGCCTGTGCGAATGTGTGTATGCATGTGTGTGAGTGTGTGTGGGCATGCACGTGAGTGTGCATGTGTGAGATCTGATTCTGCTATGATATCTAGGCAACAATGTGCTTTCTCCTAAGAATAGGAAGTCATAAGATTCAGGAGTTTATTTAAGGGACCTTGCTTAGTCTGATAATTTAGAAAATAAGATGGGGGAACCTGTAGCCACACATCAAGACTCTCGAGATGCAAGAGATACAACTCTTACCATTGACTTGAAATTGTAAATAAGTCCTTGAAGTTTCTTTCAGGTCACAGTGTCTATGCCTAAGCCCAAGCTGGTCAATTTTACTATAGTATCACGATTTTGCATGATTTATACTATGAAGAAAAAGTGTCAACTGTGTTAGTTATGGTGCTTGGCTCTCCAGGGGGTAAATTTTCTGAATGTATTTCCCTAATGGATCCCTAGAAAAGCACCAATACTGACTTAGGCTTCCAAACAAAATGAAAAGTATGTTGCTATCTTACCTTTTCCTATCAGTCTTTAAAGTCTCATATCTGGTGACAAGCTAAGGTAGCCCACAAAGCAGCCATGCTGCAGGGATACTGGGGGAGGTCCTTCCATAGAAAGATGAGACTCCAGGATGCTCAGAAACTCAGAGACATTGTCACCTATTAGTGGAAAGTTTATTAATACTTGTAAAGTGAAAAAAAAAAGAGAGACAGACAGTTATGTAAAATGACAGGCGTCTTCTGCTTTGCAGCCCATTGGCGTCATGTTTTACAAGGTTGAGGACTTAGGCTCCAATCACCTCTGACACAAAGCAGGACCTGATCTTGAGTAGCACAGTTTCTGTAAGTACACACTGTTGGCCATAGAAGGCTTTATTATCACCCCTTCCAAGGAAAGAGATCACCACCACCTCCACCAGCACATTGAAAACAATCAAAAGCATATACACTCCTGATGCTTTGTACTGAATGTCAGGCAACTCGTAGTGGTTGGCCTGAAAATGAACCCACACGAGAGGCACGTGACAGGCAGATGCTGCAAGACATACTCAAGGAAGAGAGAGAGCAACGGGAATGCTCCGTGTTTAAGGAACCAGAGCATGCTTCAAACGGAGTGGGGAACTGCCAACAACTCCCTTCTTACCAGATCTGACAGGCTCTCTTCCTGATTTGAAAGTGGTCCCCCTGAGCTGAAGCGGTTCTACAGTTGAAAACATTACGTTTACCTTTGCCACATCCTCTGACACTTTGATGGGGGTTTATCTTATGCTGGAGGTTGCTAATTCTTCCAAAACCGGGGTTTCTGAGACTTGCTGTTTATTCAGCAGAAACCTACGAGGTCTGTTTTTACTCGACTGAAAGAAATGAATCCATAGCATCTTTCATCATAAATCTAATGCCCTGGGAGAGAATACAGCAGCAAACCAGACAGACAAGGTTCTCAGGGGCCCCAATACCCAGTACAGTGCCTTGCACACAGTAGGCACTTAATAAATATTCGTTGAACAAATACACGAATGATGACTGGGCTGAGGGTGTCAAGGTCACAGTAGTGTTTCTTCTATAGTGTTTTGGGTTTCTGAATCCACAGACTTCCGTCTCATCTGTTAGCAACAGTGTTTAAGTTTTCTTGGCTAATGTTATACTTGAATTTGATTCATACACTAAAAATTATGGACCATTATAAATATCTTGGATTTCCTCTCTGGGTACCTTTTTCTGGCCAAATCTTCGTAGTAAAGAGAAGTTAAGCCACACTACACTATCCCCAACTTGCCTGTAAAGATTTACTAATATAAAATAGAATCATCTTATCCAAGTTACAAAAACAAAAAAAGTTATGAATCGTTTTGTTGTAGAAACGCAGGATGGTGTTATTCACCATAGTGTTAACTTAGTTAAGTTCCTCAATTGTACTCCCACTTTGAACTTTCACAAATTGTCATTTTTCTTCCATTCTCAATATGACAGTTTTATTACTAAGGGATTGTTGTTCAATTAATAATTACTTCAATTCCTTATAAAATGTGAGCTAATACTCATCAGTTTTTATCCACAATTATCATGTCATTGCTTAAGAGTCCCCATTTTCAAAGAAAAATTTCAAAGAAAAAGCACAGTGGAAAACAAAGAAAAATCTAATTTTACAGGTAAATGTAGTATAAGGTAGTAGATAGCTGAGTAGCTTATACATCTTATCTTGTTATCATTCTCAGTGGCTGGATGCTAATCACTTTAACTGCCTTCAAGCTATATATTTTTAAATGTGATTAAAACATACAGTCTCACAGTAAATTTAAATGGCTTATTAAAGGCCTTTACATGGCAACAGTATCGTATGTCAGAGATGAATGGTGTTTCTAATTTGCCAGCCACTTGGGTCAAGTTTACTTTAAGCAGGAAGCATATTTATACAAGTAATCGGAACACAAATGGTCTCTTGGGAGAAGCTGTTTGTGAGGGTTTAACGTTTTTGAAGTATGTTTTTGTTTATCTTCTAAACGGGCATTTTATAGGCAATGGGCCAAAGCGCCTGGAATCCATGCTCCTTAACACAGGCGTAACTCCGCCGATGCTGCCTGAAGGTACAGTGTTTCTAAGGGTGAGGAGCAAGAGGGCTGGGGGTTAAGCCACCTTCATTTGACTGACATTCTTCAGGACCTCTACTTAAAGGGTGGTGGGGGGCGGCAGCAGCATCTGCAGCACCTGGGAGCTTGTTACAAATGTAAAAACTGTACCCCAGACCCACTGAACTAGACCCACTGAATCTACATTCAAACAAGCGCCCCATATGATTTTTAAGACTGCCCTGGGACCCCAAAGCCTCTGCTTTCTGGTGAAAAGCACATATCATGGCATCTCTTTGTCTTTCCTGCTTATCTCTAGCATCATCCTCTGTAGGGAATAACGAACCCTCAGCCCATGTTTTCCTTCCTTTCTCATCACTCCTGGACCCAAATGAGTTTACCATCATCTCATGTCCCTGCTTTTATCAAGGACCCACTTCTAGTGCCGTCCACCTGACATCACCCAGGGGTTTCCTGCTGCCGAATAACCTTGGGAAAGTCAAAGCATCATAAGGACTCGCAAGGCTCTGCATTTACCCTGTGGCTGAGCCTCCCATCCTTCATTTATTCCGCACTGAGAGCCCATCCTCCTAAGCCAGCATCAAATCTTCCCTTGCCATTTTAATCCCTTCCATTGAGAGGGCATTTCTTCATCCCTGTTTCTACTCATGGACCACTGCCTCCCTCTAACCAGGCTGTAGCTTCTCTGCTGATATTTGTGGGTATTGAAAGGATGAAAGGGGGTCATGCGAGATGTTTTGGGGAATTGCGGACAGGGTGTTCTCAGTAGAGGGAATTGTATGCAGTTACTAATGACCCACTCAGCAGCCCCCTGAACACATTTCTCTTGGCCCCACATTTGCATTGGGAGGCTCAGCCTGCAGCAGGTGCCCGGAGGCACCTGGACCTCCAAACCAGACCCAGACTGGCAAGCCAGTTGGCCCCTAGAAGCAATTTGGTCTCTCTGTTCCAAACTGTGCTGGGGTAAAGGGCTTTGCAAGAAAGTGAACTGGGCATTTAGAAGCGCATTGCCTACGAATTCAGGCTGTGTGGACCAGGGGTTAGCGCAGGCAATCAATGGTCTAGGGAACATCTGGCGTCAACCAGCGAGGATCCCTTCAGGTTCCTCGGGAGTGGTCAGCACCCGGAACCCATTTCTTTAATCAGAGGAGATTGGCAGGGGGAGAAACAGGATTGCTTTCTGGCCGTAGTGAGTCCGAGGACCGCGCTTGCAGCTTCCGTTCTTCTTGAGCCCAACGAACCAATTCTTTTCTGCGTGCTTCTTGGACGTGTAGGTGTTGTAATGGTTTTCCTCCAGCCTTTCCAGGAACAAACATTCCTCACTTGGTGTCTGCTAAAAAAGATAAACCCAAAAGCGAGTAGAACGATTAGCGAGTGGCTTTAAACGGGCTTCCTCTGCTTACTCACTGTGTGACCTTGCGTGAGTTACTGAGGTTCCCTGTGCCTCAGTTTCTTCTTCAGTGAAATTGGGATAATAATGGAGCCTGTTCCTGAGGGTGGTAATGAGGACTTAAAACAGGACCCAGCACATAATGAGCCTTCAACATACATTTGCTATTATTGTAAGCTCCCCTTTTGTTTGTTGTTCTCAGGACCCTGGAGTCTCCCATTGGGAAGATCCTGAATGACTAGAAGCACCTTGAGGGCAGAGCTGGGTCTTTTGTCTCTGTAGAGGCCTGACCCATGGGCATGACAATGAAAAGTGTCCCAAATAGGTAAAAGGAGGCTGTGATGCAGTGGGGGTTTTTAAGCTTGGAAGTGAAGACTAAATGAAAACCTACTAATAGTACTTTTCATCCTGGTGATTTTCTTTTTCTTTCTTTTTTTTTTCATGCTGGTGATTTTCGCTAACAATATCAGGGTTTTACCTTAGCATTGCTATCAACATAAATGCTCGCACAAAATGTGTCCTAAGCATAAAATAGATCCTGGAACTTAAAGTTCTTTTTAAACTGAAAATAGTTTTTTTTTTGATACTTATAAAAAGAATTGTACATTTTTAATGACTTTTTCTTTTTCTTTTTTTTTTTTTAAGCTGAGCCATCCTGCCACCTGTTGGCAGCTCAGTGGCAGCTCAGTGGCAGCTCAGCTCGGGCTGGGCATTGAACCACTGTTGCTCAGAGCTCGCACTCTTGAGTGAGCTCTTACAACGTAAAAAAAAAAGAAAACACCCCAAAGTTCACCCACCCAGATATAGGCAACTGTTAACAGGCGATGAACATTGTCTTCCTACGTCTTTATGTACGTCCACACAGAGAGACATTGATAAGGCCATATAGATATAGACTTATGATGTTATCAAAATGGCATACTGTATCTGCTGTTTTATAAATGGGCAATAAGCTTATGAAAACATTCAATTTTACTAGCAAGAAAATTAAAATTAAAAATGATTTAACATATGTTGACGATAATATCTGCAAAGAGCAAAAAGATTTGTAATATGAGTCGTAGTATTGGCGAGAGTGTAGGAAAAAGGCACTCTTCACACACTGTTGGTGAGATAAATTGATGGAAACTTCCTGAGGGTAGTTTGGCAATATGCATCAAAATTTTAAATATGCATTACGTTTGACCCAGCAATTTCACTTCTAGGAACTGACTCTTAGGAGATAGTTGAGCAAAGTGTAAAACTGTTTTTTCGAGGATGGTCTGTGGATATCATGGTTACAAATTGGGAGCAACCTTAATATCCACAGAAAGGTGATTGGTTAAGTGGATAGTTGTGCATCCATACGGTGGCATCCAATGCAGCTGAGCTGTAAATTTATTAAGCTAGAAAGATAGCTACAGCATATTAAATAGAGCAGTTACTTTTAAAAAAATGTACCAAAAATTACTTTTTTGCTTGGAATTCACCTGTTAGAGAGTGGGAGGAACCCCAGTTATTTGAACTTTCTATTTGTCAAGGTTTTAGAATACATTTGTTATATTTGAATATAACCCAGTTAGGTGTATTAAAGTACTTGTGCTGCATGTTGACTTTGCTCCAGTCCCAAGGCATGTGGTCTCTGTATTCTCTCTTCATACACAGTGTTTGTTGGGTCCCTTTCTGGTGGTTTCCAATCCTATTGTTCATTGTTCTCTATTTGTGGACACATTTGTCTATTGGACTGTAAGCCCCACTGAGGGAGGATGGCATCTTTGCAGCCTTCTGTCTACCCCCAGACATAGAACCTTGCAAATCATAGGTGCTCGCCAGTGAGGTGGTGAATTTAATTTGATTCTTGACATCATGTAAAGCATGCAGTCAAGTTACCTTTGATAAGTAAGGAACGCTGTAACAGGAAGTATGCTGTTGCTTATTCATTTGTAGTCTAGTGCAGTGACAACTGGGTGAGACACTGGGTCATTTTAGAACAAGATGGGACATACATGCAATATTTAATTGGATGACTCGGCTGCTCCTAAAGGAACTTATCCAGACATTAGTGTTTGATGCACATTGTCAGGGGTGGGAGGAGGTCGGCAGTTGTGGACCTGTGTGGGTTGCCCACTCCCCTGGAAGGAGGGCTCACCCCATGACACCCCTCAGTGGGCGTCAGGCCTGTGTTCTCTGACGAAGCTGAGGATGGCCATGTCCCCCACCTGATGTCCCTATTACACTAGAGCAGTCCACACGCACAGAGTGAGTCAGAGGCTGAGTCAGCGGGCCAAATCAGAGGTGCTACGTCTGCCCCCCAACCAGGATTTGTCAGCTCTTGTTACGCACGTGGAGCAATGCCAAGGGCCTGGGGCTTAACAGTTGATTCATGACTATTGTATTAATTATTTTCTTTTTTATATTTAGCATGCTTTCTCCCCAATTACATAGGTGACATATACCCACTATAGAAAATTTGAAAAATATAACAAGGCATTCACATATTATAAAATCAGCCATTTACCACCCTGTAGATAAATAGGTTAATGTTTTAGTATGTAGCCTTTCAAACTTTATTTTTTTGAATCAATATGTCCTTCACACACACACACACACAAACACACACACAAATATTTGTATCAGGATGGATTGATACCTAAAACCGGTTAAGAATTCTGAGCTATTTTAGAATTTCTGTTTGTCAATAGGTAAATATATAAATTACTAGGCATAATATACTAGATCACTCTCTGAATATTTCAGGTGAAGTGCAGTGATGGTCAGGACTGTGGTGGGAGAAGGGGGTGTTTGGAGCCTAGAGGAAATCGGATTGGGGGGAGGGGTGTTCTCCCCCAATATTTTTATACAAGTAAAAGATTATAATAAGCATCACAAGTGATTTAAAGGAGGAAAAACTATAAAACTGTAATATATAGCCTAAGAAATCATGAGGGTCAAGGATGTATAAACCCATTATTTGTTTCCTAGCTACGGTTGGCGGAGTGCCTCGACGCGCCAGTCACGCTGGTGGGCGGGTTCTGCTCATTGTATCTCCTAAGCCCCGTATGCTGGGAGCCACTATCCATTACTATCCTCATTTCAGATAAGGCTCAGAGTGGGCGAATAACTTACTAAAGTGGCAGAGGCATGAGATTCAGTTATGAGCCTGAGACTGAATGATGGATGGGTCAATTGGTTTATTACTAATTGGAAGAACCACTTAAAAAAAAAAGTCTATTCCCTACTAAGCAGTCACTACCTAACTCCAAACCCTTTAAAGTTGTCCCACTTGACCCATATTTCAGCAAACAGCCTACTAGAGGCTACCTATTACTCTCATGATCCCATCTCCTGTGCCCTATTGGGAGCATGAAAAATACTGAACTCTGTTCATGTCCTGAACTCTGGCTGAGATTACAGTTTCAAGAGAGCATTTCCTGTACCCACTGCCACTTGGCAATTTGATATAAGTGAAAAGGATCTCCAGACTAAAATCGCCCTCCTGGCTGCCTTTTTGTAGGCATACATCTTCCTAAAGGGGAACAAAGGGGTTTGGCTTCGGCCGTGAATTACAGCTCAGCCTTAATTATTAGTTGTTAAGATATAGAGAAAGGATCATTGAAATCCAGAAATAATTTCAAAACCTGGGGCCATTGACCTCAGCTCTCTTTCTCATCAAATCTTTTCCCAGAGATACCAGAGTGGCAAAATCAGATTGTTTCTATTTCTGTTCTTTTCTCGCAAAGACCAGCATATGCAGTTAAGCCTACATAAATGAGCTGTGAGACGGGTGGAATAGACAACGTGGAGGGTTTCAGCTACTGAATAAACTCTTTGACTGTGCTTCTCGAGGGTGGGGATGTGGCTAATTTATCTTTACATCCCTTTCAGTACCTAACTGTACTTAGACACAGGAGGTATTTGACAAATGGTTGTTAAATTAAGTCATTAAACTTTGTATCCTTTTAGGTGACCCTTCTAGAATAAAAGTGCTATTTTCTTTCTTTTTTAAAAATTTTATTGGAGAACAGCCATGGTCATTGGTTACACATTGCTCTCATGCTACAATGGCATAGTTGACTCTTAAGGAGAGCGTAGGCTCACAGTGGCCCATGTGGGGATTGAACTAGTAACCTTGGTGTTATCAGCACCACGCTATAACCAACCCAACTAACTGGTCACCCCCAAGGGGCTATTTTCAAAGTTTTATGTGTGACATATCAATTGCTGGAATCTGGGCTCTGCAGTTTTTGTAAAAAACATAGGGGACACACCTGTTGCATGTGGTGGGTGCTCAAGAAACATTTTTGGAATGAATGAATGAAGCGGGACTAGGTATTCTGGAATGAGTGACAGATGAGTTACCAACATTTCAATCAATGTCTCCTCTTTGTCTATGTGATAATACGTTTGAGTATTTTCAGAGAATACCACAAGAAACTCTTTCATGTGTGTGCTTAAAATAAAGCAGGGTAGAGGGTGGGAATCCTACTAGAAAAAATAACAAACAGAGACTAATTGTTGCTTTATAATTTGTATCACTCAACGTAACAAGATTTTTGGAAACCTCAAACCTTGGTGGAGTCTGGAAGCTTGTCAGCCTCATACTTACTGAGCCGTACAAAAGCCCGTCGGAGTCCATGGCCAAGTACTGGCCACTCTCGGTGCTCTTTATATACACCTCCCCCACGCTTTCCGCACTGAGCTGCAGCTGAACTGAAATAAAAATAACACGAGCAAAAGTAAATAAACACCAGGTCCTTGCCAGTAGGGCCTGGCGGCCAGGACAGTTAGCCACGGAAAATTCTGCTCATATTTATTTCACAGGGCCCTCAAGGATGAACCTCAGATTAATCAAAACATAGAAATACAGTTCCTTTTTCTTTGCCCTCCAAAGAAAGCTGTCCGTTGGGAATTACGTTCTTGAGAGAAGGAGAGATAAAGCAGGCATGCCTACCAGTCCCCCAGGTTGTTACAGAATGACCCCGAGCACTGTCACAGCACCTGACTCCTATCTCCTTCTCTATCCCCTGGAGGGAAGTCACCACGGGAGGAAGCAGTATTCACTTCCCTGGGCCCCGTGGACCCAGCGATCCTGGGGTGCTGAAGAGTGGGCAGCTGGACAGCCTGGGTGTATTCTTCTCAGTTATCAACCCGCCTCCCGGGTGCCTTTTGACAGCCCAGGCCTTCTGGGCCTGGGATCGTCTTTCTCATCAACAGATTGTTATTTTCCGAAACCTGATACTGTTCTTTTCCTAGACAGAAGAGGTTCCCAGGAAGTTGGATTGCTTGGCACATCTGAAACTCAAAGAACTCACTCACAGTGAAGTTTAGTCAACCCCCAACCTCTGTGGGGAAACCCTGGCTTCTGATGGGGAAAAATAAAGCATTTACTGGAAATGCAGGGATGCGAACAGTGGTTCTCACCTGGGGGCAGTTTTGTTCTTCAGGGGACATTTGACCATGACTAGAGACTTCTTTGGTTGTCCCAGCTGGAGTGGGATGGTGCTATTGGCCTCTAACAGGTCAAGGTCAGGGATGCTGCTAAACACCCTACAATGCATAGGGCAGCCCTTCACAACAAGGAGTTGTTCAGCCCAAAAGGTCACTAGTGCTGAGGTTCAGAAACCTCAAGGTTGAGGTCAAGGATGTGAGTTAGCCTGAGTGACATTCTCCCCATTTACGCTGACTGATACTCCCAAGCTGCTTTGCCCACTGCTGGATATCTCACTGGAGTCTGATATCCATTTGATAATTATTCATTTGCTCATTCTCCCCAGGGTGGCTCTGGAGGGAGGTGCTTTGATGGTTCCCATTTGGGAATTGAAGTTAATATCGGACTCTTCTGGACAGTTTCTTTGGTCACCAGACTGTCATAACCATCAGTATGGCTGGGAGTTAAATCTAGACCAGGGACCAGGGATCACGCGGTAGTTCCCCAGGAGGACGAGCTGACCTCTCTAAGAGTCAGCTTTGTCAGAGTCAGGGGGGCCTGGAGGGAACACGGGGCTCCAGCTGGTGCATCTAGACCCCTCATTGCTTTTTCTTCATTTTCATTTTTTATATCATTTCTTTGAATAGGAGACATATTCCCAGGTTTTAAACTTGGAAAAAAGAAGAGACCATGAAAAGTCTCTTTCCCACCCCTCCCACCTCCACTTGCGACTGATAGGGATACAGTGGTGAACAGGAACGATGGAACCTTCTCCATCCTCCCAGAGCATCTGCTCCTGGGAGACAGAGACAAACAAGTAAAGCCCTCCCAGATACATTGTAGGTGTATCCTTCTAGAGCAGCGGTTCTCAACCTGTGGGTCGCGACCCCTTTGGGGGTCAATCGACCCTTTCACAGGGGTCGCCGGGTCCTCGTATGTGGGCGTATCTGCATGTGGGCCTGGAGACGGATAGAGGAGCGGTGTCTTGGTTCCTAAGATCATCGAAAATATGTGTTTTCCGATGGTCTTAGGCGACCCCTGTGAAAGGTTGAGAACCACTGTTCTAGAGAGATTGCATATATGAGCAAACACGTTATCCCTCCCACCTTTTTTTTATACCAACGGTAAGACACTATATACATAATTCTGCACATTGGTTTTTTGTTTTGTGTCCTTAACAACTAATTGGAGATCTTTCCACTTCATTACTGAGTTCACCTCGTTCTTTTTGCCAGCTCAGTTGTGTTCCATTAGTGGCTGTACCATAATCATGTAACCATTCCCTGTTAACATGCCTGCATTTTCCCATTTCCCTCTTCTGATTCCGTATCTTCTCATTCATCCCAAGGGGAATACATAGTCCCATCACCCTTATTGAAGATACAATTCTCTTGTCCTTGGAAGTCTTTGCTACGGAGACTCAGGGCCCCCTCTAGGTTTCTGTGGTAAGTGGAGTTTCTCTAATTCATATGAAGGGAACGGAAAGCCACCAATCGCCTCGCCCACAGGTCCTCCTCGCTTCGGTTAAGCTCTGAGAGAACAGGACAGAGAGCCGCCATTGTGATCTGGGCCCACCCCTGCTCTAGCCTCAAATCACACCGGTTGCTCACTCAGTCACTACGCCACCCATTCACCTCCTTCAGCACACCCAGCTCTTTCCCACGGCAGGATATTTGCATGTGCTCTACCCTCTGTCTGGCACCTTCTTCCCCCTGATACTCACAAACATGGTCCTTCTCCTCCTCCAGGTCTCAGCCTAAACACCCCCTCCTCGGAGAGACCTGTTCCACCCAAGTACCTGCAATACAGTTCGCTGTACAGTAGGTGCTTTTACCACTACTCCCACCTCAATACCCCTGCCAGTGACACCTTGGTCCCACATGAGCATCTTACTCAGCCCTTGTTAGTTTCCTTCATGGCACTTTATACAAAGTACAGTTATTTTTATTAGAGGTTTACTCATTTATTTCTGCCTCTCCCGGAGAGTGTACATTTGGGAGAAAGGGCAGAGATCTTATCTGTTCTGTCCCCTTTAGGCCTCCAGTGCCTCACATGGTGCCCTGCCCTCCAGGGACAACCAATATATATTTGTTGAGTGAATGATGTTAGGCTAATATTTGCAGAGGTGGTTCTGCTGGTCCATCATCAATAAGCTGTGCGCCTTGAATTATGTTTTCAGTATCGCCTTGTGGATTGAAGTAAGATGGGACCAAGTTGAGAGTTGTAAGGCTCAAAGCTGGGCCCAGCCACCAGCCCTCTGGGTGACCTCAGCCAGACTATTTAACCTCTAGGCCACAGTCTGCTTATCAGTAAAATGACAGGGGCTTGGACTCCATCTCTAAAGTTTTCTCCACCTCTATCAGTCTGTAAAGTAAGTAAATACACTTAGTAACAACACTGTATACAATAGAATATTATTCAGCAATAAAAAGGAACAAAGTAACTGATCCATGCTACAGCATGGATGAACCTTGAAAACATGATTAAGTGAAAGAAGGCAGTCACAAAAGCCCACATATTTTGTGATTCCATGTAAATGAAATGTCCAGAATTGGCCAACCCATAGAGAGAGGGGG